GCTGCCTCAGGCGTTCGTTGGGACGTGATAATATTGCGCAAAGGATTTTTTCCCGCTATCTGACTCTAAGTACCTAACCACTGGTGCTCCATTCTGCCAAATGAATTCACAGCAAGAGGCTTCTAATGCAATAAGCACGCAGCTGGATGGTGCAACTCTGTGGAGCTCGGTCATTAAATAGATGCATATTTCACGTGCAAATCAATCCCCTCTGTCTTCATTCCTGAACGCATCACGTGGGCTCATTTCTAGGCTCCTCCTTTCGCTCTGTGCTACTTGGAATTTAATATCGCGTCCGACCAGCTCCCTCAATCATCATTAAAGCACTTTACTTTCTTAATACCGTGCTTAATGAAACCCAATTTACAGCGACAGTCGGGGTGGGAGAGGGTCGAGGCTCTTACAACGCTAAAAGCTGGGCAGATAACCCAAGACGTCCAGCCTGGCTCAATCGGTAGCACTCTCACCTCGGAGTCAGAAGGTCGGTCGGGAGGCGGGGGGGTGGGGTTCAAGCCCCAATGATGGACTTCGAACAAATTCACAGTCCACTCCACTTTACAGTATATTCTGTCAAGCGCTCGGAGACATCTCGACGACCCCAAAAGGCGCTGCATCGAATGCAAGGATGATTATTGTTACCCAAACGGCTCAACAACAAGAACTGGCAATGGACGGAGTCTCGGAGGGCTCCAAAGTGTTTCGGCAAGGTTTGTCTCAGACCCCTGCGCTTGGTGCCGTGTGAATCAGAAAGTTGTCGGAAATGAAAGTACGGGCTTCAAGCAAAGACGATTTGAGACGACTGACACTTTCAGAGGCACCTTCCACACTACAGGCAGCGCACAGCCTGGCTCGGTCACTCGCGCTGACTCGTGAAGTCCCGTAGAATAGTGGTTAGAGCGCTCGTTCTCAGGCGAGGGGACCCGGGTTCGATTCCTGAGCGGGGCGAAATCTTAGGCGAGTTTCCTTACTCCAATCCCTCTTCCCTTCCACAAAAAAAAATTGGTCACTCAATCCACGACTGTTTGCGGGGACACCGCTGGGCACAATTGGTTCCCGCTTTTCGCCCACAATATACACAGTCACTCCACCTTACAATATATTCCGAAACGCTACGAGATGTCTCGACGATGTAACAAGGTGCTATATCAAATGCGAGGATTATTATTACTTTCTGCTCAATGTTCTGCGTAGGGTTTGAGCTTGAGTCCCAGGAGTAGAAAGCTACATCATGTCCCAACCAATGTACCACCTAATCCCTTGTGCAACTAAAGCTTAATATGTTGTACCATCGAATGCAACCGGTGTCGTGTTACCAGCCTTGGTTTGACTTATCATACCCGACTGATAATTCATGATAGCAATACCTCTCTGCTGAAATGATATTTATTGACTGTTGGTCCTCTGTACTTTTCAGCCTCGTTGCAAGTGGATGGTATCAGCTTTGGTACGTTTGCCAATCCATCACACCCTCTACCTGCATATCCATCTATTTATCTGTTGAGATAAACATATATATGTATGTATACGTGTGGGTATGTAATAGAATCCGTTGTAAAATATACGTATTGGCTTTTGAGAAGCTTTCAACAATACTACGTTGCTGGGATAATAAATGATTTCATAATAAATTATTCAATTCAAAGGGCAAATTTTGAAGATGTAAATTCCGATGAAAGCGATGAATGAGACTGTTTTCTTTCACAGCTGATGTGTGTTGTTAAGTTAAGTTGTCCTCCTTGCTCCACACACCCACAGACAAGCCTTGATTCCAATCCCGGCAGAATTCTGTCAAAATAGCTGCCGCACGAAGTTTGCGATTCCGAATGGCATGAACCTCAATTAACTGTTTGTCACATAATGCACATTTCCGTTGAATTTTTTTTTCCCTTTGAAAGTCTCCCCACAGACTGCACTTTTGTCGCCCACAAAAGATACAGTCGATTCTCTTTACGGTATAATTCTGGGAAGAGCTTTGAGACGTCTCGAGAACATGATTAAGGCGCTATATCAAATACAAGGACTGTTATTACTTCTTTCTTTCTTTCTTTCTTTATTTATCCTTTCTTTTTTTATCAACTTATGATAATCCTTGCGTTTGATATAGGACTTATCTCTGGAATTTCCATGTGTAGGGGGAATGCATGGAATTCTCAGATGGGTTTAGAGACTCTTAAGCAATGGCGACGGGTTTCCACGTGTGTCAGACACCCACCCGACCAAAAAAAAAAAGAAGTTACATCTGAGACGACCCAATGTCCCAGTAGCCGGGCCTTTTCTTCTGAGCGCGGGAAAATAAAATGGCTGACTTCTCGGTCGTCAGGTCACTGGCGATGGACGTAAATGGTTCCCGAAATTAAAGGGCCTCCAACGAGTTGCGGGCCCCAGCCCTAGATCCTTCCCTGCATTGGTGGGGAGGGAAGGGGGGTGATTATGTCCAACGCAAAATTTGTTCTGGTGATAAGTGATCCACGAGAGATTATCCTCAGTGGGACCTTTCATCCACAATGAGAGCTCGGAGATAAGTTCACACACAACACTGCCCTCAACAGGCTGGTGGGGTTCGAGAGACAAAAAGATGGTCTTGCAATTTTTTTCAAACCTAGGGGACACCAAGGTCTCCTCCAGTCCTGCACGGCACCCAAAACCGCTACAGCCGTTGACCCGAGTCCATCAGAAAGAACGTCTTAACTCATCAATGCCATTAGTTGAGTAAATCATTTGTGGAGTCCTGTAAGCGAGAGGACCCGGGTTCGATTCCCGGGTCAGGGTGAAACGTCGGGCAAGTTTCCTTACTCCACACACACACACACACACACACAGGCACACATGTCTCTGTTTACCAGCAGTAAGTAGGAACCTGGTTGTTAGTCGATTGGCGGATCGCTTTTCCGGGGGGACTAATCCCTTCAAAAAAAATTATAATTTGGTCACTCAATTCACGGCTGTTTGTGGGGACGCTGCTGTGCGCAATTGGCTGCCGCGTTTCGCCCACAAAATGCACAGTCAATTCACTTGACGGTATATTCCGTGATGCGCCTTGAGACGTCTCGAAGACGTGATGAGGCGCTGTATCGAATGCGAGGATTATTAAAAACGATTATTGTACGTTCTTTCCAGCGCGATGGGAGATAACAATCATCATTTTTTAACAGGACATTTTTTGTTCAGGTGCGATCTGAAGGCTAAGAAGACTCTTTCATTGTTGTTGTAAGAAGACGGGGGGGGGGTTGAGGGAGAGAGTTCCATGGTTTTCGGGGCGTGGTGGCCTCCTACTGTGGAGCGGAGGGGACGAGGGACAAGAAGCAAGAAGCAGGAGCCACCTGAGCAAAGGCGGTAGGCAATGGAGCCGAGAGAGTAAGCAGTACGGAGAGACAGGGCAATGTGAATGACCTCACCGTCATATTTCTTTTCCTTAAAATAAATGCCCTGAGCGTTTTGTGTTCGATGTCGAGTTCCGATGAGTTGCAAGTAAGTCTGAAGCCGCCTTCGTGCGAAAAGGATGAGCAAAATAATTAACCCGTGCTTGGGAAATGAATCTGGAGTTCAAGGATGATTTCCCAGGGATTGCGAGTTATCAGGATCTTGATTACATCCCACATGAAATGGGTCATTCAGCCCTAAGCCCTGTACCTACCAATCAACTATCCCATGATAATAACCGTAAATGTAGGGTAAAGATTACCTCACTCGCCTCACAAGCGAGAGCTTACCCTGCAGCGAGTAGGGACCCGGTTGTTAGTGGATTGGCGGATCGTTTTTCTGAGGGTAACAATCCCTCGAAAAAGAAATGTGGTCACTCAATCCACGACTGTTTGTGGGGCATTGCTGTGCGGAATCGGCTGCCGGATTTCGCCCACAAAATATAGTCACGACACTTTACAGTGCAGCGTATTCAGTGAAGCGCTTTGAGGCTTCTTAACAAGGTGTTTCAGCGCTATATCAAATGTAAGGATTATTATTATTATTATTAAGCACAGCGAACAATGCCTGTAACTGAAGGAGAGGGGGAACAAGGCAGAGATTTCCGAGGGGAAGGTGGGACGGAGGCTTGGATTAGAATAGGGGGAGCGGAGATAATAATAATCCTGGCATTTGATGTAGCGCCTTATCACGTCTTCGAGACGTCTCAAAGCGCTTCACAGAATGCGCTGTAAAATGAATTGACTGTGTGTTTTGAGATGGTCGGAGGGTTGGAAAGGGTTGGCCGGGAGATTGCCCCGGGAAGACTTTTTGAGTCTGGTTCAGCATCCTTTACGACACAGCCGGTGTTAAAAGAAAAGTGGTCTGTCAGGAGTCACAGGGAAGATTAAGTGTAGATAGATGTGTGTGTGTGTGTGTGTGTGTGTGTGTGGGTTTATCGTTTGTAAATTCCATTAGTCTGCACCGATTGTGTTGCAAGGACACGAGGCAACTTGGCAATGGGTTTGTGGGGGTGGTACTTGAGATGGTTTGTGTGACAAGCAGGCGTTTCTGTAGCCAAGGCAGAAGCAAAGCAGCATCTCCCTCTCTCTTTCTTTCATTCACGCTCTCTCTCTCTCTCTCTCTACCCTCCCCTTTCTCTCACACTAGTTTGCGCTGTGCCTTTTTGCGAGATGCAATTTGTTTGGGCTGTGGTGAAGTGAGCAGTGCAGCATTGCTCTTGTGTCTCTCTCTCTCTCCCTCTCTCTCTCTGGCTCTCTCGCTGTTGCTCTTCTGTTTTAACGTCTCCGGGTTAGTTGCTGGATGCACAGTGGTTGCTGCAGCGAGACGTGTTTTGTGCAAGGGACAGCCGGTTAAAGACGAGAGAGAGAGAGAGAGAGAAGGAAGGAAGGGGGTGGGGGTGTGAGAGAGAAAGGAAAAGAAGAGCGAGAGAGAGGAAGAGAGCAGATGTGCACTGACATGGTCAGACGTGGACGACTGGAGTAACGTTGCTCATCTCTTTATTCGCTCACTCGCTCGCTCGCTCTCTCCGGCTGAAAATGGACTGCTTAGCTCCTCGCGTTCACCTCCTTGCCCTCTCAATGTCTGTCAGACTCTGGCTGCTAACTGTGACGGCTTATTCCTGTAAGTACAGCTTTTTTTTTTGTTTTCAAGCTTGTTAACTGAATTGAACCAGGAGGTTGGTAGTGGCGGTGGTGGGCGGGGATGGGTGTGGGAGGTGGACGAGAAAGTGTATGGCTCCCCCCCCCCCCACCGCCTCCACCTTCCCACCCCAAAAAAAAGTATGGGGGAGCATAAGTTTGCACATCAGAGAGAGAGAGAGAGAGACAGTGTGTCCAGGTGAATATGTGGCTTTATTTTGGCATCACTTTCCACTTGTACCAACACTGCCCGATAGTCAATGTGCTCTCTGTAGTCGTGTGCGTGTGTGGAGCGCTCTGGACGTTAGCCTGGGTGATGGGGGGGGTTGGGGGGGGTGGGGGGGGGGCTGTATAAATGCAAGTTGTTGTCGCTTGTATGGATGTGTCTGTGTGTGCGCGCGCGGGTGTGCGTATGAGTGTACATGTATCTGTCTGTGTGTGTGTGTGTCTATTGTGTGTGTGTTTGTGAGTATTACATCTGTGTGTAATTGTGTTGCTGTGTGGTGCGCGCGCGTGTGTGTTCGTGTGCGTGCGCGCGCGCGTGTGTGTGCGCGTGTGTGCGTGTGCGTGTGTGCGTTTACACGCACGCGAGAGACTGTGTCTCGGTGGAGCTTGCTCAAATGGCTACGGGGTTATTAACAAGTGCCCAAGTTTCCGCTGGCGATTTAAAACTGCGCGTGTAAGTGGTGATGGTGATTTGGGAAAGGCGGGCGTGAAGTGTGGGGGTGGGGGGGGGGAACGATTGCGGTCTGTAATGTGCCTGTGGCGTCGAGACGGAGACTCGAAAGGGGAGTGAGTGTACCTTTGACTTGAAACCACAGTCCCTGCTGTCGTGGCGATCTCAGAAACAGAGGGAAAGGCAGGTTGACAGACCCTCGCCGGCTAAACACGGGGAACTCTCACCTCATCCTTCTCTTTACTGAAATCGTCCCTTACACCAACAATAAACCCGGCCCACACCCTCTGCCCCTCCAACCTAAATCACTTGGTGTATTGTGTTTCGTCCACAAAATAACACGTATTCCTACATGAACACACACGCACACACACACACACATATACATACACGCAATGATATGTACGCGCAGACATCCACACATGCACTCTCAAAGTGCTCCACCCGATTCACCGTCATGTGCAGTGACTGTGTACTTTGTGGGCGAAACGCGGCAGCTAATTTGTGCGCAGCGATGTCCCACAAACAGTCACAAAGCGGAAACCAAAATTATTTGGGGTGGGTGGCGGGGGGGGGTGGGGGGGGGAATTGTCGGCCCGGGTCACCGGGAGAGACAGAAACTCTCTTCTCTTTTCAAATAGCACCGCGGGATCTTTAACATCCACCCGGACAGACAGCCAGACAGGCAGACAGGCCGACAGACAGACAGACAGACAGACAGTCAGACAGGACCTTGATTCTTATGTCTCGTCTGAAGGACGACACCTCCAACATTGCAGAGCTCCCTCGTACTCTGTGCGATTCAGCCCGGACGGTGCTTGAAGCCACAACCATCTGTGGGGGGTGATCTTTGACAGTGATTATCGTTATGTCACTGACACACCTGTTGGTCACTCCTTTGGGTAACAAATGCAGTTGTCATAGAATCATAGAATCCAACAGCACAGAAGAGAGGCCATTCGGCCCATCGTGCCTGTGCCCGCTCTTTGAAAGAGCAATCCAACCAGTCCCATTCACTCCCCCCCCACACTCCCCCCCCACCCCCCACCGCTCTTACCCTGCAATTTTTTCCCTTTTCGAGTTTTCCTATCCAATTCCCCTTTGAAAGTTATTGCCGAATCTGCTTCCACCGATCCTTTCAGGCAGCGTCTTCCAGATCGCAACAACTCGCTGCGTAACAAAAAAAAAATCTCCTCATCTCCCCTCTGGTTCTTTTGCCGAATATCAAATGGAAATGAGTAGAAGTTAACGTCAGGGGGTAACATAGTAATAATAATAAAAATCCTTGCATTTGATCCAGAGCCTTAACACGCCTTCGAGACGTCTCAAAGTGCGTCACAGAATATATTATAAAGTGCAGTGACTGTGTATTATTGTTTTTATTTTCTTGAGGGATTATTATCAGCGCATGGAGTAAGGAAACTTGCCCCGAGGTTTCTCCCTGCCGGGAATCGAACCCAGGTCTCTCGCTTGCGAGGCGAGCGCTCTAATCAACGAGCTACAGGACTCCACAATATCCTTCTATAGTGCACTATACCGTTATGATGTGCACTATTCCTCTCTGATGTTATTTGGCGAAGGCTATAAGAGATACCAGTGAATAAGCAGACGAGTTACCAACGGTTTATCCTCGCCGAAACCCAATAAGGAGCGCGTTTGCCTACACGTAGGTTACTGTGTGGGACGGCAAGCTGAGCGTGCGTAGGGAATAGCGGCATTGTTTCCAGGAGAACATTAACACGGGCAGAAGATCCAGTGATCTAACAGGTGTGGAGTTTGCAGTAAAAGCCGGGAACAGTAAATCTCGGCGTCAGTACTTTCAAAGGAAACCCAACAGGTCAATGAGATGAGTCGAGAACTCCAGTGGGGGGGGGGGGGGGGGGCGCGAGCATCAGCATGGGCTAATCGTACTCTCTTCTGCACCGCAAACCAGTTTTTCCTGGTGACTGGACTCCAATAACCTCACAGCCAAGACCGCACGAGAGATCCAGAGTCCTGTAGCTCAGTGGTTAGCTCGCACGCTCACCTCGCAAGCGAGAGGTCCCGGGTTCGATTCCAGGCGTGGCAAAACCCGAGCCGAGTCTCCTTACTCCACACGTCCGCCTCTGTTGACCCAGCACTAAGTAGGAAACCGGTTGTGAGTCGATTGGGGGGAATAATCCCTTCAAAACAAATAGAGATAAGAATTTGGTCACTCAATCCACGGCTGCTTGTGGGAACGCCGCTGTGCGCAATTGGGCTGCCGCGTTTCGCCCGCAAAATGCACAGTCAATTCGCTTTTCTCAACGACGTGTTAAAGCGCTGTAATCAAATGCGAGGATGGTCATTATCTGTTTGGACTTGAGTAGCCTTCTGGCCGACTTACAGTGTTAGCCTGAACTTATGCGTTAGCCTTCTCGCTCTCGCCTCTGAGTCAGAAGGTAGCGGGTTCAAGCGACAACACAACCAACTGCGTTGTCACCCCATAACTGCACTTGTCCTCACGAAGATCGCCCCTTAACTAGACTTACTTTGAACTCAGAGTCCAGGCTGACAGTCCAATACAGCGCCGGGGTGGGGGTGGGGGGAGCAATGCACTGTCGGAGACTTTAAACGAGACGAGGTCCCACCTGTGCCTTGTTCGCTTGGACGTCGAAAGATCCCACGACGCTGGTCAAATAGAGAAGAGGGTTCCTCACTTGCCCAACAATCCCTCCAGATACGAGCAGCCAAATCATCTGCGCAATCACCTACAAAATACACAGGCAGCGCGATTTTGCAGGGAGGGAATTCCCGCTCGAGGGACTTCGAGACGCCTCGCGAGGATTTTTTTTGCGTGTCTGTGCGTGCGTGGATTATTTACTGACTACATTGAAGGGACTCCACAAACGCGCAGCCGTCCTGTGATTAACGCGATGCTTTGTTCAACCAAAGCTACGTTGGAATCTCTTGCGCGTGAAATGTAAACCTGGAGCCCGTTTGGATCAGGTTTGCGACTGTACTGTTCACTAAAGTGTCCTCCTTCAAAGCTCCCACAAGTTGCGATGGGTTTTCAGGGCGCAGGAAGGTGCTTAGAGCGACACGGTCGGTACGGCAGGATTCCCAGCATGAGTGCTGGCGGTTCCGATTGCTTCATTTGGATCGTTAAGATAAGACTGGACAGGGTTCAGCTCGAGGGAGCAGTACGGGCACTCCGATCGCAAATGTACACACTCGCACACAGGAGCACACTCACGCACAGACGCACGCTCACACACAGATGCACACTCACACACAGACACATACTGACACACCAACGCACACTCACACACAGACGTACACTCACACACAGACGCACACTCGCACACAGACGCACGCTCGCACACAGACGCACACTCACACACAGACGCACACTCGCATGAGGAAGAGGGGGATAGAGAGAGGCAGGGAAGAGGGAAGTGGAGAGGTAGAGAAGAGGGAAATGGAGAGGTAGAGAAGAAGGGATTAGAGAGGTAGAGAAGAGGGGAATAACCCACTATTCCTCTCTTCCTCGTGCTTCGCAGTACCTCTTAAATACCCTTATATACCGACTGAGCCAGGCTGACACACGCAAGGAATTTTTCAAATGCTTTTTTCCCGTCAGCCGGGGTGTCTGACACACGCGGAAACCCATCACCTTGTGCTTCAGAGTCTCCTGAACGAGCTGAGAATTCCGCGCCTCCACATGGAAATCTCACAGAAAGACTGTTGGAATGGAATGCGTTCTCTCCCTCTCTCTCTCTCTCTCTCTCTCTCTCCCTCTCCCTCTCCCCGGAGAGACGCATCCTGTTTACGTAATTCCGGAGAGTATTAGGCGCAGGATGGCAAGAGCTGGGAGGGTTAACAGGAGCTGAGCAGGACGACTTCCCTGATCCCAGTGACTGCACACCCAAAGATCAAGGGGATGGATGAGAGAAAGAGTTCCAGTGGAGGAGTTAGTAACAGCTTTACCATTATGCATTTGCACATTTATTGGCAGATACTTTAATGCGGACCCAGATCCTTTCGGGCAGTAATTCCCCCCGGGGTCTAGATTCACTGTGTTTGCGTAGAGTTTCAGAGTGTGAGGAAATTGGGCAAATGGTTCAATTCACTCTTCACTTTTGATGTCGGCTTTTCTGTCGTTGCTTTGAAGTACTTTACCAGAGCGGAAGCGAGAGAAAAATTGCCTTGAAGATGAAGGCTTTGTGTAAGAATTTTCCAAATTCCGTTTCATGCCTCTCGCTCTGAACGTAAGAGCCGAAGAGTCAAATCTTTCTGCGTAGAATCGCGTTCACCTACAAAACACGCAGGCCCCGTGACTGCCGTAA